TATATATTGCCAAGCCAAAGGGCAAGCTCCATCCCATATGCTGTGCTTGAGATTAAAGAATGAACCAGCTTCGATGGTTGGTGGAAATTTAGATGCTTGCTTCTCAGGGTCACACCACTCATTGAGCACACAGTGAACTTGTCCACAGTGAACTTGTCAAGTACTGCTTGCCTATCTGGGGGCCGGGGAGATGGCTCAGTAGAATAAGTGCTTCCCTGGCAAGCGCAAGGGCCTGAGTTCAATCCCCAGTTCTGCCAAAAAAGAAAACAAACAAACTGCTTGCCTATCTGTTACTCAGTGACAAGCAAGGGACCCAAGCACAGTTTCTGTTTTAGCTTACTATAACAGAGCACCATGGACTAGTGCCTTGGAAATAACAGAAATGTATTCCTTCTGGTTCTGGAGGGTGAAAGGTAAAAATCATGATGTCAGCGTATGTCAGATTCTAATGAATCTGTGCCCTCTAGGGTCACAGACTGCCAGCTTCTCATTTGCGAATGGCAGAGAGTGGTGCAGGGAAACTGGCTCTCCCATGACTCTTATAGGAAAACTAATCTCACTCATGGCTCTGCCCTCATGACTTCATCTAATCCAAATTATCCTTTGATGACCCACTATCCCATTGGAAGGCAAGGTTTCAATATATGAGTAGGGGGCACAAACTTCCAGCCCCAGTACTGCTGTATAGCTTCCAAGAACCTAGGATGGTTATTGCCACGCAAGGTGGTATAGCTGCTGTCGTTAGTGACATCCAATAAAAGACATGAGAGATTTTTTTCTTTTTTTTTTTCCATTTCATGTTTACTGCAGAAAATGGAACTCTTATTTGCAAAGTTCCTTGCAATTCTGTTAGGAAGGTTTGTATGACATAAAGATTAATCATTATATTTATTTCCTTTATCTGTTTTATGCAGTAATCATGTCACTGGAGTCTCATTTTAAATGACTAACAAATGAAAGGAAAATTTTTCAGAACAACCCCTGCTGGTTTGTAACTTGGCAATTGTACATATTGATACTGATAGTACTGAACGTTTGTTGTCATGGCTGCCTTGGAGGAAATACCAATTCCATATTCATACGTTACTCCATTCCATTTGGTCTTAATCTCAATTTCTATCATTGGACAAGAACTACACAAATGATAAAGTGCCTGCAAGCAGGTGCAAGGGCCCAGGGTTTGATCCCCGGGCCTGCCGTGCCGGCCCCACCCCCAGGGCATGCTGAGACAGCAATTGAGACTGGGCATGGTGGTGGGTGCCGGTAATCCCAGCTCTTGGGAGGCTGTAAACAGGTGACTATGAGTGTGATCTAGTAGTGAAGTCCTGAACACCCTGTAGACCCTTCCCTAAAATCCAAAAAAAAAAAAAAAGAACTACTCAAATGAGTTGCAGACATCCAGGAGAAAGTATATTTGTGACTGATTGCTCTTGTCCTCTTGCTAGCCAGATCTTGCCTTGCTTTAGTCACTTCTGGATGCCACTGTATTGCATGAGTATTCACGCTGAAGTATTTCTTATACTCTATAACATAGTGTTACTACCACTGATGACAAAAGCCATGTGTTCTGCTTCACTCCACATTTGCCTCAGTGTGATGCAATTAATTTACATGCAGTTGGTATCTTCCTGTTCTTCAAGTGCTGGTACCTTTCTTTGGCTATTTGATATTTTCATATGTTCTTCTTTATTCCCCTTTTTTCTTTCTCTTCCCCATCACTGTTTTTTAAATAAGACTATTTCAAATGTCTTTTATGAACTTTTTTGCCTTTAAAATTTCTTTCTAAAGTAAAGCCCCAAGAATGAAATTGAATTAAAATGTGTATAATTTTGAATCTGTTTATTTTTGCTAAATTGATTTGCAAAATGAATTCTGCCAGTGTTACTATGTATTTAGGAGAATCACTGTGTCATTCAGTCCTTCATATTGTCTTAACAAAGAAGCAAGAGATTTAATTTCAGGGCTGGTGAGATGGCTCAGTGGTCTAAAGCACCTACTTAGAACAAGCTTAGCAAAGCACAGGGACCGCTGTTCAATTCCCCAGCACCACATGCCAGCCAGCCCCGCCCCCTGGTGGGCTGAGCTGGCCATACACACACACAAATAAATAAAAATAAATAAAATTAAAACCTTTAAAAAAAGAGAGAGAGATTTAATTTCATTAAACAATTTTTGCATTTCTTTCACACGTAGGCTACTTTGCATATTCTACTCAGCATTTGGTCATTCTCTGCTGTGTCTACCTTGAAAATATTGTAAAATCAGTGAAATGGAGGTGGTAGCTACACAGGATTGTGAATATATGAAATCCTGTTGAATTGTATCCATCAAAGTGGTTGCATTTTCCATGACTGTCCCCTAGCATCTGGGCCCATGTGCCCTGAGTCAGACCCCAGGCAGGGAGAGCTGCTGAATCATGGGAGCCCAGCAAGCCTCCTGGCTGCAGTTGCCGTGGTAATACTCTTGGCTGGGAGGGTAATGTATGCTGCATTTTGCTCTCCTAGTTGTATTGTGTTTTCCCAATGAAGTTTGGCCTATAATGAGTTTAAAACAGTTTCTGAGTGACAGAATTTGGCTTGCCTTGGCGAGTACTCCTGCTGGATGGTATGCACAGGTTTATAGATCTTGAGGAACTGTCAGATAAGCAGTCCAGGGAGTGCAGAGTAGAGATGAGCCCAGTTGGGAAATGGTGAAATCACTGGATTTTGTGAAGGACATCATAAACATCCTGGTATCATTAAAGGACCAAATGGAGGTATGACTGAGCTGGAAAACTCTGTAACAGAAGTAACAGAAAGTCTGCTGGCAAAAGTACATGGTTGAGTATGTTGGCTCCAGACCTTGCCGGAGTGCTCTCTCCCAGTGCTCAGTATTGAACGTGTCTTTCCACCTCAGCATTTCCTCTTCTTAAAATAACCTGTTGGTATCCATCATGTATTTCCCCAATGGGACTAATTTTTACATGATTTGTCTGAACTCTGATGTATTAGACCTATTAACCCTTTCCCATTCATATTTGTTTTTAGATTTTCCCAGTTTGTTGTGTTTGAAAACATAAAACTGTTTAAATCTTTATACTTTTCTAATTTTTGTGTTGTCATGTCTGTTATTTCTTATTGTATGTCAGTCTCTACTTAGCTTTTCTGTATTGAGTAATATTCAATGTGTTTCCTCTAATTAAAATTTCCTTTGAGGGGGCCTGTCTGTTAGCTCAGTTGTTTAAGTGCCTGCTTATGTAAATGCAGTCAAGCACAGGATACCTAGGTTCAATCCCCAGCTCCTCCTGCCTTACCAGACCTTCCCTTAAGGCAGCCTGAGCCAGCGCCCCCCCCCCAAAAAAAAAAAAAACTTTCTCAACTTTTGGGTCAGGCAAGCATAAGGTCCAGAGTTCCATACCTAGTATTGGGGAAAAAACAAAAAACAAAAAACAAAACAAAAAAAAAAAAAAACCTTACGGCTGGGGAGATAGCTCAGTAGAGTAAGTACTTGCTCCTGAGCTCAATAGCTGGTACCACCAAAAAAAAAAAAAAAAAAAAAGATTTCCTTTGAGTCTGTAAAAGTCTAAATTATTTCTAAATTACTACAAGTTTTCTTAGCAATTCTTATAGTTAAATACATCAGGGTAATTATATTAAATTCCAGAATCAGCTTGGGTTTTAATTTGAATTTTGCAAAATTAAGTTAATTTGGGGGCTAGGGAAATAGCTCAGTAGAATAAGCGCTTCCCTGGCAAGCGCAAGGGCCTGAGTTCAATCCCCAGTTCTGCCAAAATAATAATAATAATAATAATAATAATAATAATAAATAAGTTAATTTGGGAAAAATTGCTATACATGTGATATTTATTCTCATAATAACCCAAAGGTTTATGTTACTTTTTTTTTTGTGAAATCCTATGTTTTTACTTTTCACATAGGAGATATATAATTTTATATATATATATATATATATATATATATATATATATATGGGCTTATTTCAAACTGCACTTTCATATTATTTTGATCAGTTTTAATTGTCTAGACATAGTTACTGGTTTTTACATGCTTATCTGAGAAGTAATTCATCATATTGATTCTACCAATTATTTTTCCAGTTGATTCTCTTTTTTCTACATAATCATATACCTGTCCCAAAAGCCTCTACTTCATTAGAGCCTTTATTTTTATTTTAATCAGTTTTGCTTTTTACCAGACCTAAAAATTAATAAATGGTTCTTTTACCCATTTCTAGAGATAATGAATGAATACTGTAGTTCAGTAATTTTTAGGTCTACATTAATTTTTAACTGTTTATCATGATTTATGTTACGTTGATTTTCTTTTGGTTGGTCAGGACCTGAGAAAGATTAACATTGCCTTAGGTTGTTCATATCCAACTCTTTTCATTAGCAACAGGTCAGCTCTGCCTTCCACTCCCTACAAAAACAGATTTTGCTTCTGTGCGGTATTAACCCTTAACTGAAGTGAAAGATTTTCATCTGATTTAAATCTTTTCTGGAATCTAGCTTTTTGTTTTTTGCTTTATTCATAGTGCCCACACTTGGAATAGCCTTTTTTGTGGATTCATGTCACAGTGCAGTCTTTTATCCTTTCTAGGAGGAAATCAAAGGTTGTTATAAATTTTTTTTAATTGAGATGACCAAAACAAGATATTTATTGAATTCCCTATATTTCTTAATTAAAAGGCACATTCTTCTTTGATAATAAGAAATTATAAATGTTAGGGATGTAATGATGATGTCTGCTTTCTCCCTTTTGTAACATGAAAGGAAGAAGGCAAAATGTCCAATCAGTGTCTTTATCTTTTTATAGTAATAGCTGAAAATTTTATTCAGCACTTAGTAGGTGTTGGATACTGCTCTTTTGGCTTTGTGTGTTAACTCACTTGTTCTTCAAAATAATTGTGAGACAGTATTGTCCCCATTTATAGATAAGTGTACAGGCAGAATACTGAGTGTTTTGTTGTTGTTTGAAAATACAGTTTTATTGACACCACAGTAGTAAACAACTTTATGCTTTGTTTTTATAGAATACTGGCTCAAACATAATTCAAAATCCACAAAGATGAGTTCAATCCCTGGTTCCACAAAAAAAAAAAAAAAAAAAAAAATCCACAAAGAAGCTAAAAGTCTTATGTTACATTAAATGTGTTCCTCTTAAAAATCCTTCCTGTATGCTACTTAAGCAGTAACATTGAATTATGCACCATTTTATATTGGTCACATTTACACAGCAAAATAATGAAGGCACAGCTAATACAAGCAAACTTAAATGCTTTCTACTTCTGAGCTAGGGGTGGGGGCATACACTTGGATTGTTTCAAGTATACAGTTTCTCCAAACATACTAGCTTCAGTGAGGAGTTCTGATGATTTTCATAGCTATACCCTAAAAACTACATGACAGAAAGACTTTACAAGTATCAAACTACATAACACTGAGTACACATGCTTTACAGAGTTTGCTACATTCTATTTCTCTTCAAGTAAATTGATATTTCTAAAATACTAGAGTGATTTAATACTTAAACATTTGGGGTAGTTTTTACACTTTTGTAAATAGACACTAAGAAAATACAAACGAGACAGTAACAAATGAATACATGTTGAAAATATTATACATTATACACCCTCTTTCATGAGACCATGTTGTTTCTCGAAACTCACATATTGAGAACACTTAACAGAACTTGAAGTGGCATTTTTCCTGGCCTAATTAGCAGTAGTGTCAGGATCTCAAATCGCAGGCTTCCTGTCTGCCATCTCTCCTCAGAAGCATGTAGCTGATGTCAAGGTTGGAAAAGCAGTCTTGAAGATAATGTCTTTCTTACGTTTGCCTTTTCTGCATTGGGAGTGAAGAAATGGAACAATTAAGCATGGAAAATGCATTCAGCCCTGGCTCGGGTGTTCCATGTGTAATGATTGCGTGGTGAAAGGGTTTCAAAGTGATGTTCACATCCAATGCCCATTTTAAGCCTTCATTTAGTCCTCACAGAAGATGAAAAGAAAATAAGCTGAATTCACCTCTCTTTAACATGTTTTGGTATCCTCGTTGTGTTCCAGGAGGAAAGTCAAATTTGAAATGGGCTGGCCAAGATCTTTAACTGCTTTAATTTGCTATAGCATGTCAGAATAAATTCACATTGTATTTTTGGTCTAAAACCTGAGCCTTGTCGAGTCCATAAGTATTAAAGGGTGGGGAAGCTGTCTGTGGCATCTTCCCACGGATCCCCCCTCCTACTTCTTGGGGTCTGCAGGCACCAGGGTGCCGCAGGCTCTTGCGTCGGCCTCTTGGCCCTCGTCCTCATCCTCTTCCTGGTCCTGGACCTCGTCGTCCTCGTCCACGTCCTCGTCCTCCCCCTCCAGGGTCCACGCACAGCCCTCCATCTCGCCCGTGAGCTCTTGGATCTTGGCTAGCAAGGGCTTATAAATGTCGTTGTATTTTTTCTCCAGAGCCTGGAATTCCTTATCAAATTTGGCCTCTATCTTATCGCATCGCTTCTGCAGCTTTTTGAGCGCCAGGACGCGGCACCTGACGGAATTGGGCAGGCTCTCGAGAAAGTCGTTCTTGGGCTTGGGGGCGCCCTCCGCAGGGGGCTGGGGCTCCGCGGCTGCCGATGCCTCCTCCTCGGCCGCTGCCCGCCTCGGCTCCGCGGGGCCCCGGCTCTCTGCGTCGGCCATGGCGGCTGCGAGGCTGCGGCTCCGGGGCTGCGCAGCGCTCCCGGCTCCGGGCGGTCAGCTGACGGCTCCGCGCCCACTGCTCGCCCAGCTCTCCTGCGCCCAGCGCGCCCTCCCCAGCCCCAGAGCCGCCTCGCCCGGCCCCGCCCCGCGCCCGGGAGCTGTGCCGCGTCCTGCGGGGCTGGTGCGCTGTTGGCCTTCGTCTCTCTCCCTCCGTGCGGCAGGTGTCGCCTGCCTTCAAAGGCAGCCGTCTTCCCTCCTTCTCTGCTCCCTTCTCCTGGATCACGACCCTCTAGGGTCGGGTGCACGTGGGGGCCCAGCGATTTGGGCGCTGTGTTCCCCTGTGCGTGCAACTCCCCTCCACCCGCACACCCTCCACACCTCTCAGCAATTCCCCGGCTGCTGCCATCTGCTTGCAAACAGTTTTTGACCTCTGAGTAAAAAGCCTCCGGACTCCAGTATCCTGGTACATGTTCTAGAAAGATCTACACAATTACTATGAGGAACAGTAAATTGGAGGAAAGCCAAAGAAAACTCTCCAAGACTAGGGCCTAGGAAAAGGGCCCCCTCTACTCCCACTTGAGCATTTATTTGGACCTGCTCTTTCTTTGGGGGAGCACAAACATGCAAAGAATCATTGTCCCCAACTGATACACATAGTTCAGCATTTGTTCAGAGGGCCTTGCCCCACATTTGTATCTGAGAGCGTTATAAAAGGTCCTAAACAGCAAACTGTTGTTTCTCTGCTAGCAAAGTCAGTAAGCATTTTTATGTTGCTGCATTTATCACTTAATTGGCAGAATCCAGAATCTGGCAGAACTAAACTAGACCTTTTGACTACTATAGTGTAGAAGCTGTGAAAGATTATATATATATATATATATATATATATATATGCTCATCTTTCAAAATTTTTATATTCTCATTAGGTCTGAAAATTTAGTGTTAAGCTAGGCAACTTTTTAAAAATCTGTTTTATTGAGGTATAATTTAGTATAGTAAAATTTGCCCTTTGGGGGAGGATACCTTCACAAAGAAATGTAGTTGTTGCAGTTTTGTTTTAGAATGTGCCCTGAAAATCTCATGTGGTTTAGAGATAGGACTTCTAGAAGATGATTAGATCATAGGGTGCTGTGTTGCTTGGTAAACTGACCCTTTGGTGAATTTATAGCTAAGGTACTGTTTGAAGGTTGGAAGAGACCATAGCTGGGCTCTGCCTTTGGAGGACACCTCTCTGTCCTTGCTCCTCCCTTCACTCTGTGCTTCCTGGCTGCCATGCCTTTCTGTCATGTTTCCACCTTGCTATGGGCTGAATTCTCTGAAACACTCACTAAATTAAACCTTTTTTCCTTTGTTAAGCTATGGGTGTCAGGTATTGTGTTCACTGATTTGAGAGCTAATACACCAGTCATATTAAATACTTGAGGATATAAAGCAGTAATGTCAATGGCCCCAAAATACCCTTGTGACGTTTTCCCTAATTACAGCATTGGTAACCACAGTCTCAATTATTTTGCTTTTTCTAGAATGTCATAGATGAAATTTTATTTGTAGCTTTTTTTTATTTTTTTTTCAAAGTTTTATTGATAAACAGCAATGAGACAGTTTCAAATCAAATCGGAAGTACAGTTTCAACAAATAATACACTGCATATATTCTTCTTAGTGGTTA